AGAAACCTGGCTGTCAGGATTGGCTGGAACAGTAAAAAGAGCATAAATCTATTTATAGGTGGTTTGTTTTTTTTTCCTTTTCTTGTTAATGTTAGGAAGAACAGAATGGCAATGGTGCAGGAGGGGCCACCACCTGTGGTAGTATTCATGGTCAGTTATAAGAACCACAGGGCAGAAAACACTCTAAATTGATATGTGCTCCACGATGCAAATTATTAATAGCATTCGAGGCATCGCTTTGTGTGGCTCTTGGAGGAAATGGGAGTAAGGGAACGGTGGAGGGATGGATTCCGGAGGGTGGGATGGAGGAGAAGAGGTTGGTGCTTGCTGTAAACCAGGAGCCGAGGGTTAGATCTCGGGGACAGGGGTGCAGTGAATGGAACACTGGAAATTTCTGCATGATTGCTAAAATAAGGCACAGCAGTTGGATTTCAGAGAGGGACAGATTTCCGAGTGGAAATAGCACTGAAATGTAGGCTCACTAGATAATAAAATGGCAAGGAGAAGACTAGCTGGTCCAGCTGGAGCAGGGGAGGTGATGGGCTCAAGCCTTCAGTGAACTCCAGGAAAACCAGAGGATTGTTTGAGAGAGAGAGAAGAAGAGCAAGGATGGCAGATGGGGGAATTAAACATTGAAAGAGAAGACCAGAAGTGGGCAGTGAGGCAGAACTTGTTTAGAGGCTTGTTAGTAAGGGGAAGGAATGGATGATGTGGGAGAAGAAGCAGAGAAGTTCTACTGCCTCAAGCGAAATAGATCATGTTGGCTTGAATTTGAAAAGAAGAGGGAAAGAGTCTGCTGATTCTTGCACTGGAACCAATATTGTAGCTGTGTTCGTGCTGGCACAGCTTAATGGTGATGGTGGTGCTCTGGGAAGGAGCTCAAAGGCAGCCTTGGGTGAGATAGATATATACACACACACATACATATATGCTGATATATACACACATATATCTGTGTGCTTCCTCTCCCCCAGATTGGGTTGGGTTTGGAAGATAATAATATTATTTATTGAAACATTTATTAATGTTATTATGAAAGTGTCTGGTGTTGTTTGACTATTTGCGGGTGATCAAAATATTAAATTTGGGGTTTATAACCAAAGAAATAATCTTACGGGGGTTGATCTTCTGATCACGCGTGGATTTTAGTCATATTAAAGCTGAAGCTAGATCTCGAAGTCTTGTACTATTTACAAACCTGGAAAAATAAGAAAACTTTTTTAAAAGGTTCACTGGACGGGGGAGCCCAAGGGTTTGAACGTGGCTTAAGAGCGAAACGATTTTAAATACTCATGTTGCATGGAACTTGGTTTTTCTAAGCAAGAAGAAAAAATCTCTGACTAGATGACATCTCCAACAGTTTATTAAGAGTAAATACAAAGAAGAAAAGTATAATTTACAGGGGAGAACTATGACTCACCGTTAGAGTATGTTTTTCATCTCCAGAAAGGGTGAGAAATAGCCAAATAGCGATTTGATTTGGCAAAGAAAGCTTTTTAACCACGGGGTGTAAAGAGGGGAGAGACGAGAACGTAGTGAAGATTGGAGTCCCCATCCCTGGAGGTATTTAAAAGCCGGGCAGATGCGGTGCTGAGGGACATGGGTCAGTGGTGGTTTGGGCAGTGTTGGGTTGATGGTTGGACTTTATGATCTGAAAGGTCCCTCCCAACCCAGACAACTCCATGGTTCTATGATTCTATGGTCCAAATGTTCAATGAGAGCCCTCTCGCTTCCAGCGAAGGGGAAGTATTGTATGAATAGTTTGGAATAACTAATAAGATTTGGAGCTGAGATGATAGTTTCCAAGGGGAAAGCAAAATTTTAATTTTTTGGTGTATGGTGTCTGGGACCCAGATATTTTCCATGCTGGAATATTGGGGTATGTTTGCATGAAAATATCAAAGCTGATGGCAATGGCAAGACTTGTATAGTACCTGTATATAGGAATAATTCAAGGTCCAGTTTCTGCAATCAGTTGGGAATTACATTCAAGAAATTCCCTGCAGTAGTGGGGGTCCATAACCCTGGTGGTGGTGGTGGAAATGCCACTTGCTCCAGAGACTGGGATGGCTCCTTGTGGAGGAGGTTCGAACAAGGGCTCCATCTCCCCCTGATCTGCCCAGGGAACGATTCGAAAAGACAGAGTCAGTTTGGAGGAAAAAAATAATCCCGGAGGCTTTGTTTTAAAGTTAAATTTTAATTCCCTTTTTTACAGATCTCATCTTTTCCAAAAGGCTTGTGAGCCCTTTGGAGCCCAGTTAATTTTATGCACTTGTATATCACAAGGAGAGTGGAAAAGGATGAGAGACGGTTGGAGTGTTTTTTCTTCTTTGTACAAATTAAACTCAATCAGGTGATGACTGGAGAGGGAGAAAAGGTTTATTTTAACAACCAAAACTCTTAACCTGCTTTCAGGGTAAGGAAGCAAAATTACAGAGCAAAAACCTGTGATAAAAAGCTGGCGCTAGAGGAGGGAGATAAAACAGGAGACGTGATACAACCAGCTGGGGAGCCTAAAGGGGACCTGTTTCTCTGTGACTGTGTATACAGAGATGGCATGGCCTTTTTTTCCCCCTTGTATAGAATTAGTTTAAAACGTGATTACATAAGAAAACATCTGAACAAAACCCAAAGGCCATGTCTGGCAAAATGTCCTGACTTTCAATGCGCTTGGGGGTTGGGGGTTTCCTGCCTCGCGGTCGGTGCTGATGGAACTCTCTGTTAATATTGGCAGCCTCATCTCAGCTTTGGGGCTTGATTGAAAGGTTTTGAGATCTGGCTGTTGTGGCTGCCTGAATGGTGCATTTTGTGCACGTCATCTTCCAGGAATGTGTTCCTGTTGGAAGCTCCTGTCCTGAAGACACATGGAGCTGCATGGCTTCAATTAATTTTCTTGGCACATGGGCAGAAGCCGATGCCCAGGCGCCCGGCACAGCCCCGCCGTTGTACGGGGCATTACATCCATGGTGTGTGATAACTTCTTGTGTGCCTGAGCCTCTGGTTCTATAGTAAAAGTATTGATTGTGTTGGAATTTGCTGTAAATATAAGCTTTGGAACTAATCTTGGAAAAAAACCCCCAAAACCACAACCTAACCCAACCAACCCATCAAGCCCCCCAGCTCCCCAGTGAAACAATTATAAGCTGATATATTTTCTGTTTCTTTTTCTCCTGGAAAACTTAAAATGAAAGATCATGTTCATTTTTATTCTTAGTGTCCATACGTTGCAGTCGGTGAGGAAATTTTTGTTTGTGTTTTAACACAGCCCCCACAGCGACAACCCTTTTTTTTTTTTCCAAGCGACTGAGGGATGGATTTCAAACCCAGTAAACGTTGCCTGTTGCTAAAACCTGCAAAACTGAGCACCGGGCTGTTTCTAAGCAATTAAACATTGTGTGTAGCTCACGCCTGAGCTCCGAATGACGCCATCTCGCCCGGCAGGTGCTCTCCTCAAAGCGGGTGAAGATATTTCTCCAGGGAATTTGGTTTCTGTGTTTCCCTCCTGGGCAGAGGGGGCACTCGGGGCACGGGGGGCCCTTTGCAGAGGGGGATTTTAGAACCTGGTTTTGGTTCTATCATGTCGGGTTCTCCCCTTAGAGGAGAATATCTCTGTATTAAGTTTCATTGCGTCATTATTTTCTTCTTTAAACTTCTAATCTTAATTATAATAAATGTTTCTAGGAGAAATATTGGGTATCGTTGAGGTAGGTGTGTCCTGTCCCGTGTTTTCCTGTTTATGTAGCACAGAATCACAGGATGGCATGGGGTTGGAAGGGACCTCTGGAGATCATCCAGTCCAACCCCCTGCCAGAGCAGGGCCACCCAGAGCAGGTCCCACAGGAATGTGTCCAGGTGGGTTTGAATGTCTCCAGAGAAGGAAACTCCACCACCTCCCTGGGCAGCCTCTGCCAGGGCTCTGCCACCCTCACAGGAAAGAAGCTCCTCCTTTTACATATATATGTTAAAAAAACCCCAACAAACAAAGAAACAACAAAACCAAGAAAAATGTACAAGTGTCTAAAGGGTGGGTTGAAGGAGGATGGAGCCGGACTCTTTCCAGTGATTCCCAGTGACAGGACGAGGGGCAACGGGCACAAGCTGGAAGATGGGAAGTTCCACTGCAATGTGAGGAAGAACTTGTTTGGGGTGAGGGTGGCAGAGCCCTGGCAGAGGCTGCCCAGGGAGGGTGTGGAGTCCCCTTCTCTGGAGATCTTCAAGCCCCACCTGGATGCTCCTGAGTGCTGTGCTCTGGGCAGCCCTGCTTTGGCAGGGGAGTTGGGCTGGATGGGCTCTAGAGGTCCCTTCCAACTCTGACAATTCCCTGATTCCGTGAAGGAAAAAAAAAGAAAAGTAAAAGGAAAGCTCACTTCTGGCCAAGATCGGCTGATTTGCTCCTCATTCCTTTCTTTAATTTTTAGAAGGTCTTGATTATTTCAAGGTTGCTGGTGTTCACCTTCTGAGAGTAAAATGACAGCATTTCAGGGTGATATTGGGGAAAAAAGAAAGGAAGAGCAGTAGAGAAGTGGATTTCTCTCTCTGTCTTGGATAGCGTTATCACAATTAAAAACAATGGATTAAAAGATGTAAGTGCTGTGACAGATGAGTCCATTGTGTGTCTCTGGCTGTTGTTCTGGCCAGTGTTAGGAGCAGATTGGTCCTCACTTGGAGATGAACTCTGTGTGTGAGAGCCTGCAAAAGCTCAGGCAGAGCTTCCTCCTGTATCTCCTCCCATCGATGCTTTGGGGTCCAGTTGGGTGAGAAACTGGGACTGTGTGAGGGCTGAGCGTGTGCCGGGGAGACGGGGGTTCAGCAGATGCTGGTGCTGCCATGGACGTGCCTTTGGGAAGAAGGGGAAAAAGGGCGTTCTGTTCTGAAGGTGTGAGAGCAACGAGTCTGAGAGCCCCGTTCCTGGGAAGTGTTCCTTTTCTTCATCCCAACATTTGATTTTTGCAACGTGTGGTGACCGATGGTTAATGTTTTCTGGCTGTGTGTTCTTTCAGGTGGAGGCGTTGACCCACCAGCCTCGAGCCACAACAGTCCACGCGGTCCGAGATTCAGAACTTGCCAAGCTCCCGGAGGGAGCACTGACATCCATCAAACGCAAATTCCCCCAGGTAAGAAAATGAAAAGTATTTTCTGTCTGTCTCAAAAGATGTCTGAGGAGCTGAAGCTCCCCATTAGCACCACGTCCTCTGGGTTTTGTGTATGATTGATGGGCACCGAGAAAACATTTGGTTCTCTCTGTCTGCATGATCTGATCTATACTGACTTTCACCAGCTTCGCTTCCCTTATCTTCTAATCTGTTTGAGGATGTTTTATTGTGGGGCTGTTTGTGTATCTGGGAGAAGTTCATGCTAAATGCAGGTTGTGTATAGAATCACAGAATTGTCTGGGTTGGAAGGGACCTTTCAGATCGTTGAGTCCAACCATCAACCTCACTCTGATCAAACCCATCCCTAACCCGTGTCTCTAAGCACTATGTCGCCCCGTCTTTTAAATCCCTCCAGGGATGGGGCCTCAACCCCTTCCCTGGGCAGCCCATTCCAAGGCTTCATAACCCTTCCCGTGGAAACATTTTTCATAATCTCCATCTGAACCTCCCCTGGTGCAACTTGAGGCCATTTCCTCTTGTCCCATCACCTGTTCCTTGGGAGCAGAGACCGACCCCCCCTGGCTACACCCTCCTTTCAGGGAGTTGGAGAGAGCGAGAAGGTCTCCCCTCAGCCTCCTTTTCTCCAGGCTGAACACCCCCAGCTCCCTCAGCCTCTCCTCACAAGACTTGTGCTCCAGACCCCTCCCCAGCTCCATTGCCCTTCTCTGAACCCGTTCCAGCCCCTCGATGTCAAAGGGGAAACCACTTAGTGCTATTGATAGTAAATGAAAGTTTGACTTCTAAAATCACTTTACAATGTTGTGATTTGTTTGCCTTGCTCCCTGGGACTCAAAGTCAGCACTTGGTTGTATGTACCTTTGTTTCCAGAGCATTGGTATTTGGGGGGTGGGCTTCCTCTTCCGTGTGTTTTAGGCTGTCAGTCCTCGTTCTGCAACCGCCAGGTCTGTCTGTGTCCTGAAGACTCTGATTGCTCCCTCTGAATCCATCAACTCATCCATCTTCTTTAATTCACTTGACATTATACCTCTCTCCTGCGAATCTGGAGACTGACGGACGTGAAATTTAATTCTTTTGTCCCTAAGTGCATCAGGGACATTATAGGAAGCACTAAATCATTGCTCTAGCCTTAAAGGCAATTCTTTAATACTGTTATTTCAGCTTATTTCTGATTTTTTTCTTTTTGCTGTCTTTAAGTCATATACTTATTTTACCAGATCTCTTAAAAAAACCTGCAAAAGTAATACACCCAATTATAATACTTGTATTCTTTTGCCTTCCTGGCACCCATAATAATGTTTTTGATTATTTTTTTTAACTGTATAATATAAGGCCTGCATTCATGCATTCTCATGTTTAAAAAAAACCTGTGGGGATTTGTCTGTGTTATTGCTGGGATGATTTCCTCGTTGAGGTAAGTGTTCAGAAGTTAGGACAGTGAAAACAAATCTTCCTGCTTTGCCCAGAAGCATTGTTTTTGTTTAAGTGTTTCTGAGCTTGTGTTGTAGGTTTTTGAGACGCTCCTGTTCTCTGGATCTCTCTGAAATATCCTCAGATTCCCTGTGTAAGGCAGGGATTTCCTGCAGCCTCTGGTTCATCCCAGCCCCAACCAGGGTCCTGCCAGTGGCATGTCCCCTCTTGAGTTGTCCTTTCAAGCGTCACCCTCCTTGTGATGGATCAGGAAAGGGATAAATGAGCCGGGTGAAATTTAAACCCACCTTTCTCCTTCCATAGGGGATTATTTTAAATGTCATTGTAAACATACAATCTGTAAGTTACCAGTAAGCACTGAACATGTTATATTTAGTGATGCCTTGAACACAGCTGTGTGCAGCTCAGCGCTCTAATTTTCCCTCTTTTCCTGGGGCAAGAATTGATTTCAGCCTCTCTTTTCTCTCTCTTCCCTTTTCCTATTCTATCAGTTGGCAAAATTTAAGAGTGCCATCTGTGGAGATCTAAATCTTTTTGCTTTGCAATTTAAGTTGAGCCTGAGTGTCACATTTCTAGTACAATCCAATAGAAACCAAATGTCTTTCCCGTGTCTAAAGAGTGCAGCCCGTCAGCCTCCAATTACTCACCTATTTTAATATGGAATTAGTTTTCTCTGGAGTTGCATGTAGTTTGGCTGATTGGTTGCAATGACACAACATGCTAAAATAGATCTTTTAAGGAAATGTGTTGCAAAAAAGGTTGTTAGAAAACCATGTTCTTGCTGCTGTTTGAGATCTCCAAATTCTAAATAGAAGTTAACCTGGTATCAAAAATGTGAGACCTTGTGTTTCTGCTACTGGATTATTTTAGAAAAAGCATTAGAAATAGAAAAAAGAGTGTAAGATAGACTTAAAGTAGGATGATTTATGTGGTTAATACCTTCAGACTGTCTTAAGAACCTGAGATAAAATATTTTTAATCTGATATCAGAGTTCTTGTGTCTTCTCTTTTTGTCTGTTAGGTCCATCTGGTAAGAGAGGAAGGACAGAAGCGAAGAGGAATTGAAGTGATAGAGGAAAACAATAGGGTAGAAAGTTTGAAGTCAAGTAGAAAGTGCAAAGTCAACTTTAACTTTAAAGGAGTGTCCTGGAGAGAAGGTTTTGAGCTGGAAACTAATAAATTGTGTACAGAGAAAAGGGTCTGTGTAGCTGTTTCTTAGAAGAAGAATCCAGGCATTAGGAGGTCAAAAGCTGACCATGCCTGAACGATGTCATGCAGTTGCATGTTAAATAGAATGTTTTTTGGAATGAAGAAATCCTTGTGTTCTCCCTGATGCTGGAAAAGGTTCAGTACCAGCCTGTGGCAACACATTTGAAGGAAGAGGCAGATCAAATGAGCAGAGTCAAGAGCACAAAAAGGTGCCAGGCTGGTGTTTAGAAATATTAATCTATAAAGGCAAACAGGCTGGGGAAGGGTAAGGGACGACACGGTAACTATTTTCAAATGTATGAAGTTGTCTTTTGATAGCAAGGGCATAAGCTACTTGCTATATGGGAATAGAGCAAATGGTGATGTCCTAGAATTGCAGCGGCTGGATATTAAGAAAAAAGCTGATTGTATTCCCTAGAAAGGCTAAAAGATTGTTACTCATTTTTATAACCTCTTAAAAAATTATGGTTGAGGTGATGCCTGGTGCTGAGCAGAGGGATGGGCCGAATGAATTCTCTGGGTCTTATTTTCTCTCCTGTTACTGTAGCAGAGTGATTTATACACCGGATTTACAATGTTGTTTTCCCCATCGGGCCAGAAGTGAGGAAGGGGTAGCAGGGGCAATGGTTCTGAAATAACTGACTGGGTGGCCAGAGCTGGCTCGGGATTCGGCGGCGGGGGGGGATCTCCCTCTCAGGCCTCTGCAGATCAGAAAACCACCTTTTAACAAAAGAAACCAAAAAAAAATCACAACTCTGCCTCTGTCAAACACATGCTCCCCTGCTGAAGGGAAGGGTAAGAGAGTCAGAGTCTCTCTTGGTGGAACACTGATCAGATGGTGGTGCTTGTCCCCTGAGCCAGGGGAAACCTTCTCTTAGTTAGAATCATAGAACCATAGGATGGTTTGGGTTGGAAAATACCTTAAAGATGATCAAGTTCAACCATCCTGCCCTGGGCAGGGACACCTCCCACCAGACCAGGTTGTTCCAAGCCCCGTCCAGCCTGGCCTTGAACCCCTCCAGGGGAGTTCAGAGGAATCCCACTGATTCCAGGGCCATCTTCCTCCTGGCGGTCTCTGCAGACCCTCAGTAGCATGAACCCCAACAGCCAGGAACTGTTCCCGAGATGGAGTTATCCTCTTGATTTGTTACCCTTGAGATGGCAAGGGCAAAAGAACCCTTTATTTCTAGGAGTTAGTGGGGAGTCTCCATCCTGCAACCTTTTCCCCAGTTGTGGTGTGTTTGTAGATGACCCAGAGAGGGTTCCAGCTCTGGAGTGTGCTGTAAGAAAATATTACCTGACGGGTAAGAAAACTGTGTAGGTGGGTGGTGCTTGCTGATGAGAAGAGCATCAAATGAGGGAAATGAGGCTCCGTTAGTCCCTGCAGGAGTTGAGGTTCCTTGAGCTGGGATGTAGACATGGCAGAGCTGGTGCCTGGGGCAGCACCGTGTGCTCGCCCTGGTTTGGCTTCTCCCCTGGGCATCTGCTGGGGTCCTGTCGGAGGCAGGATACTGGTCTGCTGGGATTTTGGTGGGACCCGCTATAGCTGCTGTTATTCTGAGGGCTGAAGCAGGTTGGGTGAGCATGGGGGAGCTCATCTCTGTTATAAATAACAGCCAAAATGTCAGAGTATGTGCCCAGAAGTGACAGATGCTGGGCTTGTGGATCCTGCCCAGCCTGCAGAAGTCAAATCCACATCTCCCTGGCTTCTCAGGAGAGCCCCCCAGCCCGGGGTCACTCTGGATATAGCATCCTGCATGTTCCCAATTGGAAGAGGTCCACGGTGCCAAACTTCCCCCTCGTTTTCTCGGTGCTCCTACCCGAGGGCCACAGCTCTCCAGAGCCAGCGGGGCACTCGGCCAGCGAGAGCATTTGCTCCTCTGACAGCCCCGGTGTTCCTTTCTGGTGCTGGCTGAAGGCTTTCAGAGATGCAGGAGTGAAAGGGAATTGATTCTTTCTATTTTCGTCCCTGCCTTCAGTTTGGGGAAAAGTAGGACGAGAGAAGCAGCTCACGATTTTTGGCACCACAAGGCGGTTTCAAAGCAGCAGAATTTGTGAACAGCTTACGGAGATGTTCTGACAGCAGCGCACAGCTTGGGTGGCCTCTCATAGATCAGGCTTTGCCTCTGCTGAGCCGAGTTTGCTTCTGGTTTGGTGGTGGTTTTCTAATCCTAACTTGAAATTTGGACCTGCTGTAGCTGATGGAAATCGCACCGAGAAAACACAGAGACTTTCTGCATCCTTCTTTTAATTCTCCAAGCCTGCCCTTGGGGTTTAAATATATTCAGAACCGTCTCGAACAGCGAGTCCTGCTCTCTTTGTGTGTGTATTTTAGCCGGAGCTTCTCTGAAGTGGCAGAAGCC